AAAAAAAAAAAAAAAAAAAGTTTTCAAAAAATTCCGAAAACAAACAATGTTATGAAAATAAACTAAACAACATTTGCCTGGGCACTACATCCAAATTCTTTACCAAATTTGAATTAAAAGTCAAATACAGAAAATAAACACTATGATAAAAATAAGAAAAACTAAAAAGAGAATTAAAATGAGTGAGTGTGCTAGCACCTTTTCGACACCGCCATCTTTGCCGATTTTCAATTATTTTTTGCCATTGACAAATGCCCTTAAAATTTACAGATATGTAGTTTACATTATCAATAACTCATTCATTGTTTTTCAAAAAATAATAAATTTTTTTAGGCCCCGAAATAAAGTGAAAACAAAAAGTTAAAAGTGAAAAAAAACAAAATAGTGAGTGGGCGAGTACGTTTTGACACCCCCATCTTTGACGATTTTTAATGTTTTTTTGGCTTAGCAGAATGGCTTCAAAATTTATAGGCGTGTAGGTTACATCATAGAGAACTCACAAAAAAAACTTCAGAAAAAAAACTTATTTTTAGGCCCGAAAGTTTTTTTGGCAGGGGCCGAACCTGGAGGTGTTCGGCCCCAGAATGGGACCCCGAATGCCCGAACGTTCGGGGCCAGCCCAGGGGCCCCCGAACGTTCGGTCGGGTAACCCTGTGTATATATATATATCGTCAAATAGAACTGCCCGGTCAACCGTAGGCAGAGAGGGAGAAGAGGACAACAAACGAGGGGCTGTGACAAACTGTTTCGTCGGAGTTTAACCGACTATATATATATATATTGTCACACTATATATATATATATATAGTCACACTGTGAATCGGAGCGCAAAGGCGGAAAAAAGCAAAACAAGGAAAGGAAAAGAAGGAAGGAAGGAAAGCCCCACCTGTTCATCACCTCTYACRTACAAGGCCAGCCACGTGGATGACAGGTTGAGCGCTGGCTGCCCCCATCCCCGTGTGTCACAAGGACCCACTTGCACGCGGCCAAAAGGCAAAGAGGTAAAGAAAAGGAGGAAATCAAACCTCACAGAGGCAAGAAAAAGAGAAAGGGATCCAGTGAAAGAAAGGACAAGGGAAGTGGAAGGAAGGCATATTAGCCAAGCAAAGCAATTGACACATCCCTCAAATAAACGAATTGCCACTGTCACAACAAAGTTCAACATATTTTATATTTTTCCTTTTTTCTTTTTTCTTTTTTTTGCTTTTTTTCTGAATTTTTTCTTTTTTCTTTTTTCTTTTTTCTTTTCATTTTTCCAAGTATCGAAAGCTTTATATGTCCTATAATCAGTGTTGCTCCCGACCTGCTTGATTCTATTGAGACCAGTTAGGAAGAGGACCCCCCACCCCGGCAGATAGGACAGGCACGCTGAGGGTGGCGTGGATGTTCACAAGGATACCCAAGGAGAGCTGCGCCAGCACAGCATTCAGCAGGACGGCTAGCACGGACCATGCCATCAAAGCAGTCCTGACAAAGGACATGCTGTCCACATGTCAAAAAAACAGCAGGACGTTCATCACAGTGCGGCATCCTTGCTCACAAAAGGTACAACGAATGTCGGGGTGATAGGGATGTGTACAATGAGGGAATGTTGGACACCCTTCGACACAGACGGCGGCGGCTGCAATAGTTTGATAATGGTGATGGCATAGATGATGAATGCCACAACCAAGACGCACCGCGTCTCTGCCCCGACAGGTGTCACACGAGAGTCGGTCAATAAGATATATATATTATATATATATATCGTCAAATAGAACTGCCCGGTAAACCGTAGGCAGAGAGGGAGAAGAGGACAACAAACGAGGGGCTGTGACAAACTGTTTCGTCGGAGTTTCACCGACTCATCAGGAGGCTGAATAATATTTTATATTTATATATATATATATATTGGTAACAAATTTCGATACCAACCTGAGGCAAAAGTTGTTCAGTTTATTTTTCTGCATAACATAGTTTTTTCCCGGAGTTCTTGGATTTTTCAGTTTATTTTTCTGCATAACATAGTTTTTTCCCGGAGTTCTTGGATTTTTTTTTTCGCTTTTTTTTTGCTGGGACCTTCTCTGGTCCTTGCACGGCCTGCCCGCCCAGGAAAACAAGGTCACGCGGGTGGTCCGACTGGTAGCCTAGGTGAGTAGTGATATGGGTCTATAGTTCTTCCGGTCTTCTTTGTCTTCCTTCTTGTGCAACAGAGATACCACGCTGGTGCTTAGTTCATTGCCTAGGCCTCCCTTTAGCATGCTGTCATTGAAGAACTCGAGCAGGTCCTCACCTAGAGTCGGCCAGAAGTAGCTCCAAAATTCTTTTGAGGGGACGTCAATGCCCAGAGCTTTGTGATCTCCCATCTGGGTCAGGGCTACGTGTAGCACAGTCAGGGTTAGGGGTTTGTCCAGGCCTTCCGCTTGAGTTGTCGAGATCGTTTTTTCTAGGTATGACAGCATGTGTTGACAGGTTGTTAGGTTCACTGCGGTCGGGGTGAAGGCGTCTTCGACTTGTATATTTTTTGTAGAATGTCCTGGCTATCCTGACCATCTTTGTATCTGCTCTTTTGACATTCCGTTGATCTGTTGGTCTTTCAGGTCCTCTACCATGTTGTTCCTGTGTCCTGGCTATCCTGACCATCTTTGTACCTGCTCTTTTGACATTCCGTTGATCTGTTGGTCTTTCAGGCCCTCTATCATGTTGTTCCTGGCGTTGGCTTTGATTCTGGAGAAGAAGAATTTAGTCATGGAATCCTGAACGTCCGATCGACTTGGTTCTTTCTGATCCGGGAGAAAGCTTTTTTGTCCAGATGCAGCGCCCTGAACGGATCAATCAGTTCAAATTTCGTCATCAGATTCTGTATCCGGGTTCCCGGTCTTGTGGGACCCATTAATACTGTCCTAGAGATCTGGTCCAAGTTGGGATGTTGCAGTCTCCTGCGATGATAACTGGTTGCGGGTTGGTGATGAGAGTTTTGATGTTCTCAAAGAAAATCAGTTGTTCGAGGTTCTGCGTTGGGTGCATATAGGTTGAGGATTCTCAGCTCTTCTTCTTGCTATCTTATGTCTAAATCTACCATCCTCACTGTCTCCCTCACCGTTCAAGATTTGACCTTCGGTCAGAATCTTGGGCATCCTTGGTATGAGAATTGCAGTGGACCAGGCCACTGGTTAGGAAGGGGGGTTATAGTTTTTTATATGGGACGCTGGACCCGTTTTCCAGCATAGTGGTGTCTTCTTAAATGGAAAGATTGTAATGATGTATTCAAGGGACGCTGGACCCGGTTTCCAGCAGGTGATGCTCCCCACCAATAGATGGAGCCGTTTTGGTTTAAAAAAGAAAAGAAAAAAAAAAAAAAGAGAGAATTGCAGTTCCTTTCTTACCCAGACCCTCTTTGTTGGACCACCGGGCGAAGGCACATCCACCAGCTGTCTTCTCCACGGTTTTCTGTATTCTGCTGTCTTCTCCACGGTTTTCTGTATTCTGGTGTGGTTGTTAAGATTAGATACGTGGGTCTCTTGAAGTAGTATCAAGTCGGGTTTGGGCTGATCTTTTCCTATCAGACCGAGGGGAATGTCCCTGATTTTATCTTCCTCGGCTAAGACGTTCCCTAGACCGTTGACATTCCAGCAAAGTATTTAAAGGCCCTTGGCATGCCAGTTGGTCTTCGGTGGGTTGCCAAGTAGTATCAAGTCCGGTTTGGGCTGATCTTTTCCCATCAGACAAGGGGAACGTCCCTGATTTTTATCTTCCTCAGCTAAGACGTTCCCTAGACCGTTGACGTTCCAGCAAAGTATTTGAAGGCCCTTGGCATGCCAGTTGGACTTCGGTGGGTTGCCTTGCCCATATCTAGAGTTCGTGAGTCTTGGCATTGCCTGATTCAGCATCCCCCTCTTTATTCTTTTTTTCTTTTCTTCGGTTTTTCTTTTCAGGATTTAATTAGTGTTTGAGGTGCGAACGCTTCCACATTTGTAAACTAAACGAAGTGCCAAAACTGAAAACCTGAGTACTTCCGCTGATATGAACTGTCCTACATCTGGGCAGGAATAGACTACAGCAAATTTCCACTAACCAGCGGGGTTTCAAATCCAGGCGCTGATATGAACTACTGATAAGACCAAATCTTTAGCCCTTCAGGCTATAGGTTCAAATCCAGAGCCATACCTTCAGCAGATGAAAACACTGACCAAATTGCAATCCAAGATGCCATTGCAACAGACGGACCAAGGAGAACTAGGACAATGAAATATTGTGATCTCCAGTTCGAAATATGAGTTCATATAACAGTTGAATTCTGAGGCACTGGAATTGGCTGCTGAACAGGCAGGCCCTGTGGTAGTCCATGAAACAGAGTTACACATCAGATGGTGCAACGTCGTACTAGGTATTACTTGCACAGTGAACACAACAAAGCACACTTTTGAGACTGCAAAACGCTCCCTCGCCCAATAGAGCCTCTACAAAATAATAAAATTTGAAAACTTACCCAAATAGAATCTGGCATCCATAATCCTCATGCTGGGCCTCATAGTCTCGGTTGGTTGCTCCCTGGATGACCATAAGATTATTGTTGGGTGACTTTCTATACCAGCTCCATCTGCTCCTGCCTTCAAGACCACCATGATAACTCCCATAACCTTTGAACTTATACCTCCCCACTTCCGCAATCTTGACATTCCTGACAACTGGAGGGGCTGTAATGTCCAGATACATCAATACAAGCAAGACACCAGTGCCAGCTTCTGCCCATCATAATGTGCTTCGGAGTTCACACAATCACATCAGCTACCTCCTTGGAAACAAAACGGCAATCCTACTCTTGCAGGTTGCAATGCTTATTCTTCAGCACAACCATTCCTTACAATTATTATTCCATGTGAACACCAGAATAATATATGACCATTTGAACGAATTGTGAGGATTGAGCCCTCAAATGGGGCCTTGCCGTGGTGTACATGTTCTAGGCCAAGGCCCCCAGCAAGCATCGTGCCCGCCCTAAGTGAAGGCGGGCCAGCAAATCAACGAGAGCCCTCTGTTCAAACATTTCACGAAGTGGGGTCCATACAGTTGCCGCACGCCAGTTGGTTGGAGTGCACCGAGTGCCGGATCTCTGCAAATGCAGAAGGACCAGGGCCCTTCAGAGTTGGTTAGGCCCTGGGCACATAAACGTGAGGCCGACATTGCATACTGGAAATAGAGGCCGAAAATGCCAATGGGAAACCGGTCCACTATCTGAATCTGGACGCAGGCCTGGATGAAAGAGGCACAACTGCACTGCGTGGGCCCCAACCGCATTGGGCCTGGGTACAGGTACCCAGGCGCAGGCTCAAGGAAGGCCGCCCACACGCAACATTGGCATATAGGCAGAGAGGGCGAGTGGGCAGGCAGTCTTGGCCATTGCGAGCAAGGCCGGCACGCTGCTGCATTGCGAGTGTGCCTGCAGTGCGCTAGGCTGAGGGAGGGCAGGCTGGCGCTAAGCGGTGGAGCGCAGCCTGGGCGCAGGGCGCTGGCGGCCATAGCTGGGCTGCCTGTGGGCGCAGAGGAGGTGAAGGGCGCTGTGTGGGATAACAAGGGAGAGTGAGGGAGAAGAGAGAGACATACCTGGAGGAGAGGAGGTCGGCATTGGTGTTGACATCATCACTCGCTGGTCGTCAAGTTGTCTGGTTGCTTCCATGCTGTAGTTGTAGTGATAGGCTGTAGAGTAGGTAGGGTGCCTGGCGCCATTCAAGAGAGAGAGCTACATTGGGTTATGCTGTTGGTGTTGCCCAATTGGGCTTGGACATTGACTCACGATTCTTCTGTATCGTTCTCAAATGGATGGTTACTCGGTTCCATTGTGCTATCTGCTCTTGCTTTGACTACTTGGACTTCAGTGTGATTTTGCAATCTGGATTTCTGTGCTTCGTCCACATTCATGTTCCTTGCATTTTGGTATTGGAGCTGGTTCGATTTGCTGCTTACCTCGTGCGTCGTGTTATACAGACTTGGTGCGTTGACGATGCTTCTTCGCAGTTGGTACTTGTGACGTGGGCACAAAAATAGGCGCGCGGCCTGGGTAGAGAGGCGCGCACCGGAAGGCTATACGGCATGGGTTGCCGTGGTTACAGCGGAATGTATGATTGGTGATGAGAGCATGCTGATGTGGCATTTAGCTGAGGTGGCACTGCATTGCGTTGTGAGTGGTACCGAGGCTACGACCGGTCATCAAATGCACACTCAGCTCAATTGGTGAGAAATCTGTGGTTGGGGGCAGCTATCTCCAGGTACGTTGTACCCTTACCTTATCTACCCTCTCAATCTCTTCTTACAGCGAGGAAGTGAGTCCAACTTGAGAGTCCTCTCTTTTGGTGAGGTGTCGTGTCCGCGCTACCTTGAGAGACGACAATCTTCCCGGAAGCATCTGGAAGGAGAAAGGGCGGTGCCTCTGAACGGCCCTGGTCAAAGCACTTGGGTCACGGTCACCATGCCAACCCAATGGGAGTAGGTCACGCATGCAATGGCTGCTTGTCCATTTTGGCACTTTGCTGTGCTATAGAAGTCGTGCCGGGTGTGCCAGCCCATAAGAGACGCTTACCAGACCGTCTATAAATACTTCTGGCTGGGGACTCGGTGTTGATACTGGCTGTGATCGTCGTCCTGTCTGCAACGTTAAATAATTCTTGAGGAGATGGGGGCTCTCCTTAAATCCCTCCTGGTCAGCCAGATCAAACCGGGTAGTAAGGCTTGTTCCGTACGAGGGTAAATAAGAGTGGATGGGCTGGCTTGCTCGGCAATGACTTGGGGCACAGGGGTGGGCCGACATTACACACGAAGACACTGCTGCTCAAAGATGCTCTTCGGTATGTTGGATTGAGGGGAGGGTAGGTTCTAATTGGTGCTCAACTGTAAACACAACCATTTCCACCATGCATACATCTGCAACATGATTTWAWTTKATTCTTTGATTAGTTGGTGGACAGACTGCTAACACCTCACAGACARCTTAGAGTAGGACCAKTGTATACTACCATAWCTGGTTCTATCTCAAGCTGCTGTAAGTGAACTAATCAATGGTAGGATTAAATTATGTGTACAGTCAGTGATAATGTTGTTGACGACCGCTTGAAATAGTAGCATTTGGTTTCCTGCCGGACACAAACTATTTTTAGAAAATTAAGTGCCGGTCAAACATATGCTGTGGTAGGACTTCTCTAGAAGGTTCTAGTGCAGACAGTGTATGCATAGCTCATGAGTGAATCAAACAGCGCTGAGGGTAGAGTTGACGATGGTAGACTAACACGATCGAGATCACGTAGGATCCCGTACGTGTTTCAGTACCTGGACACCGAGACAGAGAGACGGCTTAGGGCCAAAGCTATAGCCCGTGCTAGAGCAGCGAGCGTGAGGACAACAGCAGCTGTTGCACAAGAGTTAGCAGCAGCTAACGCAGCAGCAAGGCAAGCGGCGGCAGCAGCAATGGCTACCGCGGCAGCAACCAATGGTGCCACTTCGTCTGCCACTCAGTTGGGAATGCCCACTGGGTCCGCGGGTAGTTCCAGTGTCGCAGGTTCTAGTCACTCCACCAGTCAAATGGCGGGCTCGCAGTTAAGCCCAATGACCCCACGCCAGCGGGAGTTGAGGGAACTCCAGCAAGTTGAAAGGATTCGCACTAGGCTAGAGAGGGAACTGAAGGAAGCTGCTGATAGAGAAAAGGAAATTAGAGATAGGACAGTCAGATTGGAAACGGTAGAGGCCGACAAAACTGCACTAGAGAGGATGGACTTCATGGAGGACACTTTGGATCAGATATTGGCTCAGTTGCAGCAGCTTGGACCAAGGCTGCCCGCAGTTGCAAGATCGTCGCTCCCTATGTCGACGATGATAGGCACCTACCCCCATGCTGGCACACGACCAAGCGGTTCGTCAGCAGCAGCGCCTCAGACTGTTGCTTCTACTTCTTCCGGTCCTACGGTGGCAGCTACTCCACCACCACAACAGCAACCTGTTCCACCACAGGGACAGCAGCAAGGCCCATGGTACCCAAAGACCCCAATGAAACCACCTATCGCCTTCTCTGGTGAGAAGAAGGACGAGGAGCTCAACACATGGTTGAGAACGGTTCCAATGTGGGTAAGGGCAAAAAGGACTTTGCAGGAGGAGGAGGAGATCACTGCTTCATCTTACCTTGAGGGTAAGGCAGCCAAATGGCTAGACGGGATCATAGCGAAAGCTGGGTTTGGGAGACGCATGGCAGATTGGGCTAAGACCATGACTTTAGATGAGTTCATAGACATGGTAGAAGCTCGCTGGCATAATCCGCAGCAGGCCCAGATTACCACTGACGCCATAATAAGACTAGACCAGCGACGGTACAAGTCCGTTAGGGAGCTTACGACTACCGTGGAGAATCTCATCGTAGTCCCAGGCATTCGCTATGATGACCAGGTCTTATTGACCATGTTCGTGAGATGTCTCCCAGAGAATCTCAGAACACAGTTGGCCAGCGAGGCACACCTCGAGTATCACACCTTTGAGTCCTCTAGAAAGGCCCTAGACTTAGAGGCTACTCTAGGAAGTGATCAACCTACTACTCCAGTAGACGGAAAGAAGAAGAAGAGTCCACAGGAGTGGAAGAAGAAGGGGAGTCGACTTATGATGGTTGAGACCGACGTGACTCAAACCGAGGTTGAAGACCTTTCTGACCTGATGGACACCACAGAGTATGACGGCGAGGAATCTGCTGAGGGTAGCACCATTGCCGCGATAGTAAAAGGTAAGGCAGGTGGCCGAGGGAAGGGTCCCCAAAAGAGTCAAGGGCAGACCGCCTCCAATCAGTCCAAAGTTGCTGATTGGGTCAAGGCTGGTTTAGATCAAGGTGTGTGGCGGGACCGAAGAGTGCGTGGTGCTTGCATCAACTGTGGTGAGTATGGTCACACCCAGTACAAGTGCAAGAACGCCAAGGTCACGCAGAAGATACCCCCTAAGGTAGGGGTACCTTCTTCCCAGGCTTCTAGCTCGGGAAACATGTGAGGCCGGTGGAAGTTTTAGCTGCTTCTACTCATGGTGAAGTGGGCCAGATACCCTCCCCACTTCATGAGAAGGCCATAGCTAATGACTCTTTAGTCACCCTGCAGACTCATCCAGACCAAACTATGCTCTGTACGTTGGATGTGTCTGATGCCTTAGAAGATTTAGAAAGTGAGTGGTCAAGCAAGGACCCTTGCGAATCGTGGGTGGCACTAAGAAAGGTCCTAGAGGGGAACATTTCGTCGTGGAAGTTGCTGTAGGAGACCGCAAATGTGGTGCCTTCATAGACATCGGCTCCACACGGAATTACATAAGTCGCGACTGTTTGGAAAGGCTGCACCTACAAGACCGGGTACAGCACCTTAGTAGACCGGTAGCATCTACTTTGGCCAATAAGGAGCGCATGGTTGTCACAGACTATATCAAGGATGTCGTCTGTACCTTCTCCTATGGAGGAGGGGAACTTAATCATAAGATTTCATTCCTGATTAGCGACGACTTACCATTCGATATGTTGTTAGGAATGTACTACCTTGAGGTTGCCAAGCCCCAGTTTGACTGGGACAAGAAAGTGTTAAAGCATAAGTTGCCTGATGGGAGAACAGTGAGACTGACTAAGTTCAAAGTCAGTAGTATAATCGATACCTATGGCTGCTTGTGTGCATCAACATTCTATAATTTCTATAAACAGAACCAAGAGGAGGGTATGTACCTAGTGTATGTCTCTAAGAAAGGGGCGGCCGTTAAAACACCCCCAGAGATGGAACACGTCGTTGCTAAGTTCCCTGATTTGTTCATGGAGCCCACAGGAGTCATCGATAGGGAGGTTGTCCACGCCATAGAAATCATTCCAGGGAGTAAAACCCCAAAGGGAAGGATCTATAGGATGGCTCCTGCCGAGTTGGATGAACTTCGGCGACAACTGAAAGAGCTGACAGAAAAGGGATGGATCCGGCCGAGTACTTCCCCCTACGGATCTCCAGTGCTACTTGTACCGAAGAAGGGGGGTACATTGAGGATGTGCATTGATTACAGAGGCTTCAATGCCATCACAATGAAGAACGCAGAGCCTCTACCCCGCATAGATGACCTATTGGATAGGGTGCAGGGATGTAAGTACTAGATAGACTTAAAGTCCGGCTACCATCAGATCGCAATAAGACCTGAGGATCAACACAAGACTGCTTTTCAGACCAGATACGGTCTGTATGAGTTTGTAGTGATGCCCTTTGGCCTTTGCAATGCGTCGGGTACATTCCAACATGCTATGAATAGGATCTTCCATGACCACTTAGATAAGTTTGTCGTTGTCTATCTTGACGATATTCTTATCTTTAGTAAGTCTGCCGAGGAGCATGCACAACACGTTGAGACGGTACTTTCACTCCTGCGACAGCACAAGTATAAGGTCAATCTAGAGAAATGTGAGTTTGGACGCACTAAGATCTTATACTTGGGTCATGAAGTATCCGCGGAAGGTATTAGGCCGGAAGATGCGAAGGTGGCTAGTATCAGGGACTGGCCACGACCTCATACTGTTACTGAGGTCAGATCTTTCTTAGGAATGTGCGGCTACTATAGAAACTTCGTAAAAAACTATTCCACAGCCGCCTCTCCTTTGGCTGATCTAACTCGACTTGACACGCCGTGGGACTGGAGTGATGAGTACGAGGCTGCTTTCAAACGATTGAAGCATGCACTTATGAATCATGAGGTTCTCATGGTGCCCGATCCTCAGAAGCCATTCATAGTGACCACTGACGCAAGCCAATACGACATTGGCAGTGCTGGCTCAGCAGGATGGGAAAAAGTTGAGACCGATTGAGTATATGAGCAAAAAAAAGCCATCAAAGAAACTGGCAAAGTCCACCTATGAAAGGGAACTCTATGCTCTCTACAAAGCACTTGTGCATTGGAGGCACTTCATCGGGTGCAGGGGTGCAAGTATTTTTCGAAGATCGATCTAAAGTCCGGTTATCATCAGATAGAGGTCCATCCTGATGATTAATACAAGACTGCATTCTGGACTAGATATGGGCACTACGAGTTTGTAGTTATGCCCTTTGGACTAACCAACACCCCAGCCACTTTTCGTAGTAACGTAGTAGACAGGTTGTACATTAGGACTCCTATTCGGGAAGTCTACAGCTACCATCTGTTTGTATGCATGTGAAGTGACGAAGTATGCGAGTCTGATTGCACCAGTCCCTGTTCACCAAAATTCCCTGATGACGACAACCAAAGTGGAAACATGAATAATTCATACTACCAAAAAGGATGAGCACCAGCCGAGGACAACTCATGATCAAAGGACATCTCGACCACAATATGTTTCTGGATGTCAATACCCACCTGACATTTGATTTCCTTAGCAATCACAAACGTAAGCACCGTTCTTTGGTTCCTTAAAACTAAATTCCCTCACCGCCTTGTACCACCTCATCAGAGTCCCAATAGGGTGCAAGCTCATATACTGTCTCCTCCAAGGCTGTTTGAGCAACAGCTACAGTTCTCCTTTGAAAACAGCTCTACCATTTGGAGTGAAAACAAAAGGTCCACTCATAAACTGCCCCCCACCTGCATAGCGTCTTTAGCTTCTTTCAAACAGCTTACCCGATCATCGTACCTCACCGTCGATGTGTCGAAATTACGACGTATAGAGACCACTTATCTGCCCGTAAGTTACCAAGTAAAGTATCACGACTATGTGTAGTTCATTCAAAACATTCACCTTTGCGAGGAATGAGCCTCACGGAGCCCTAATCAGACATACGAGTGTTCTGGGCTGTGGCCCCCAGCAAGCCTCGTGCCCGCCCTAAGTGAAGGCGGGCCTGAATATCCACTTGAGGCTTGTTCCCGACAATTTTCCCATATGTGGGTACTCAGACAGTTGCAGCACGCCAGTTGGTTACAGAGCAACGTGAGCCTCTAGGCTCTCTCCAGAAGCAAAGGGTTGCGCTGTACAGTTGAGCCCAGGGCTCAGGCGGTTGCGCCCTGGGCACATGCTGTGTGAGGCCGACACATCACGGACTGGTTACGGGCCAATGAGCAAGCAGCATTGTCGTCACACATGTGTCGCAAGCCAATGAGAATGCTGCAAACACTTGGAGGCTGGGTGTCTGCCTGGACGTGCCTAACTGCACGAGGCCCAGTCCAGTTCCGAAAACTGGGCCTGGGCGTAGACACTTGAGGCCCAACTGAAGCTACTGGGTCCCCCACACGCCTGGCCAGGACAGCCAGCAGACACACTTTCCATAACGGAAAGTGTGAGCCACTGAGAGGGGCAGTCTGGCCTTGGCAGGCAATGCAGACACGCCGCTGCGTTGCTGCGCTAGTGTCTGCACGAGCGCTGCGTGTCGGGCGCGCACACGGGCGCTGAGGTGAGAGGGGCGCTGCAAGGCAGCGGGTGCACAGCAGCCATCGTCGGGCTGCAGGGGCACAATATGTGACGGTGGTCTTCGGGTAGGAGGTGCAGGACGAGGTGATCAAGGGGTGATGTGGGGAGGAGAGAGAACGTACCTGGTGTGTGATGGTGATCGACATTGGTGTTGACATCACGTACATTGGTCTTTTCGACGTCGGTGTGATCCAGTCGCTTGAACGTAGATAGGCTAGATAGGCTGAGTAGAGCAGGCTGGGCGCTGAGTGCCAGACACTAGGAGTGACATTGGATACAGTGTTGATGTGACCAGGAGTGTCGGCATTGGCACTTGAGTTCTTTGTACTGCTCTGATGTGGATGGAATCTTGGTGCATTGTGCTTCCTGCTTGGTACATGACTATCTGGAATACTTCGTGATTTTGCAACTTGGGTTTCTGTCTATCGCTGTCGCTCATATTCCTTGCAATTTGGTATCGGAGTTGGTTCGTGATCGCCGTTACCGGCGCTGGCGACAATGTTACTTGGTGCGCTGATAAGCTTCTATGCAGTGAGGATACATTGACGCTGACATGTTATGCCACTCCCGGGTAAAGGGGAGGCTGGCAGGAAGGCTGTGGCGACAGCGGATGTTTGTGGGATGATGAGAGCATGCTGACATGGCATTTTGGCTGAGGTGGCACTCCATTGCATTGTGGAATATACCGAGGCTATGACCGATCATCGAAATGCATGTCGGCTCAATTGGTGAAAAATTTGTGGTTGGGGGCAGCTATCTTCAGGTATGTTGTTCCCTTACCTTCTCTTCCCATCTCAATCTCTTCTTACCGTCAGGAAGTGAGTCCAACTTGAGTGTCGTCTTCTCGTTGAGCGCTCTACCTTGAGAGTCGACATTCTTCCTGGTGGCGCATCTGGAAGGAGAGGGCGCTACGTCTGAAGGGCCCTGGTTGAAGCACGGGTCACGGCCACCATGCCAACCCATGGAAGTAGAGCACGCATGCTTTGCTGCTTTGTCCGCGCATGCTTTGCTGCTTTGTCCGCGCATGCTTTGCTGCGCTGTAGAGGAAACGTGAACTGACCAGTCCTATGCAAGACGTCCACAAGACCGTCTAGAAATTATTTCTGGCGGGATCGGATCTGAATACTGGCTGTGATCATCATCCTGTCTGCGATGTGAAATTATTCCTCAGGACTCCGGGGACTGTCCTTAAATTGCCTCTTGATCAGCTAGATCAGTCGGATAAGGCTCGTTGCACGCGAGGATAAATAACAGGCAGAGCTGGTCATAAGTGGGTTCCTGGGCACATGGGTGGGCCGTTGTGCACACGTCAGACACTGCTGCTTGATAATGCAGCCAGGATCGTTGGATACAGGGGAGGGAAGGTTCCAATAGGTGCTCATACACAAACAAGTTTATTCCATACTTGCGGCGCACTTCTGCGGTGCGCCGTGCGGTGTGTGTGCGCCATGCGCCATGCGCAAATTGGTGATGCACTCTTTTTTTTTTTAATAGGGATGTCTGTGTATACACACACACACACACACACACACACACAGAGAGAGAGAGAGAGAGAGAGAGAGAGAGAGAGAGAGAGAGAGAGAGAGAGAGAGAGAGA